GTCTTTCTGAAGGAAATACTCCTTCTGTCACAAATACTCCTTTTGTCACAAATACTCCTTTTGTCACAAATTTTGCATTTTGCCGAGATTTCGTTATTTTTAGTAAAGTGAAGCCACACTTTGGACCGCCGACGTAAGCTACTCATGTTCGACTCGCGCGGTTATGCCAACACTTCCGGTAGACGCTTCTTCGTTGGTGTTCAGCGGTTTCTTCTTCCGCTCGGCGGACTGTGAATATCGAAACTAGGAATCGAAATTTTAACTTTTGAACGATTCCGGGAAAAACGAAAAGTTAGTCTCGGTTCCAATCGATACTCGATTCTCGATACCCAACCCTACTCACGGTCGGATTCATTTCTGGCATGTCATAAATTTTGGTCGCTCCTCGTGACTATATCGCACAGTTGAAGCAGCAAAGCTACACTGTTAGACCTTACCAGGTTTTTTACAGTAAAATACTGGCAACACTGTTGCCAGTAATTTACTGTAAAAATGCACTGAAACTCAAGTTAACTAAAAAATACAACTTATTAGTTTTAGTGCATTTTTACAACACTGTTGCCAGTAATTTACTGTAAAAATGCACTAAAACTCAAGTTAACTAAAAAATACAACTTATTAGTTTTAGTGCATTTTTACAACACTGTTGCCAGTAATTTACTGTAAAAATGCACTAAAACTCAAGTTAACTAAAAAATACAACTTATTAGTTTTAGTGCATTTTTACAACACTGTTGCCAGTAATTTACTGTAAAAATGCACTGAAACTCAAGTTAACAAAAAAAATACAACTTATTAGTTTTAGTGCATTTTTTACAACACTGTTGCCAGTAAATTACTGTAAAAATGCACTGAAACTCAAGTTAACTAAAAAATACAACTTATTAGTTTTAGTGCATTTTTACAACACTGTTGCCAGTAATTTACTGTAAAAATGCACTAAAACTCAAGTTAACTAAAAAAATACAACTTATTAGTTTTAGTGCATTTTTACAACACTGTTGCCAGTAATTTACTGTAAAAATGCACTGAAACTCAAGTTAACTAAAAAATACAACTTATTAGTTTTAGTGCATTTTTACAACACTGTTGCCAGTAATTTACTGTAAAAATGCACTAAAACTCAAGTTAACTAAAAAATACAACTTATTAGTTTTAGTGCATTTTTACAACACTGTTGCCAGTAATTTACTATTTTTACAACACTGTTGCCAGTAATTTACTGTAAAAATGCACTGAAACTCAAGTTAACTAAAAAAATACAACTTATTAGTTTTTAGTGCATTTTTACAACACTGTTGCCAGTAATTTACTATTTTTACAACACTGTTGCCAGTAAATTACTGTAAAAATGCACTGAAACTCAAGTTAACTAAAAAAATACAACTTATTAGTTTTAGTGCATTTTTACAACACTTTTGCCAGTAATTTACTGTAAAAATGCACTAAAACTCAAGTTAACTAAAAAATACAACTTATTAGTTTTAGTGCATTTTTACAACACTGTTGCCAGTAATTTACTATTTTTACAACACTGTTGCCAGTAATTTACTGTAAAAATGCACTGAAACTCAAGTTAACTAAAAAAATACAACTTATTAGTTTTAGTGCATTTTTACAACACTGTTGCCAGTAATTTACTGTAAAAATGCACTAAAACTCAAGTTAACTAAAAAATACAACTTATTAGTTTTAGTGCATTTTTACAACACTGTTGCCAGTAATTTACTGTAAAAATGCACTAAAACTCAAGTTAACTAAAAAATACAACTTATTAGTTTTAGTGCATTTTTACAACACTGTTGCCAGTAATTTACTGTAAAAATGCACTGAAACTCAAGTTAACTAAAAAAATACAACTTATTAGTTTTAGTGCATTTTTACAACACTGTTGCCAGTAAATTACTGTAAAAATGCACTGAAACTCAAGTTAACTAAAAAATACAACTTATTAGTTTTAGTGCATTTTTACAACACTGTTGCCAGTAAATTACTGTAAAAATGCACTGAAACTCAAGTTAACTAAAAAATACAACTTATTAGTTTTAGTGCATTTTTACAACACTGTTGCCAGTAATTTACTATTTTTACAACACTGTTGCCAGTAATTTACTGTAAAAATGCACTAAAACTCAAGTTAACTAAAAAATACAACTTATTAGTTTTAGTGCATTTTTTACAACACTGTTGCCAGTAATTTACTGTAAAAATGCACTAAAACTCAAGTTAACTAAAAAATACAACTTATTAGTTTTAGTGCATTTTTACAACACTGTTGCCAGTAATTTACTGTAAAAATGCACTAAAACTCAAGTTAACTAAAAAATACAACTTATTAGTTTTAGTGCATTTTTACAGTAAATTTTACTGTAAAAAACCTGGTAAGGTCTAACAGTGTACGAACGATTGCCCTAAACTCAGTGTTTTTTCCCTCACTGCGCCTGCGCGAAAACAGAAGTTTAACCATTTCATCTGGAACAAAAATAAAATTAAAATAAAAACGAAAAGAGGGAGATCTTTAAGTTCTGCAGTTCAAACGAGCTACAAATTACTGTTGCTTACCTCCAGTTCGTGTTGCAAAATGGATAATATTACCCACGTCTTCCAAGCCACCTGCGATGTAACGCCTCTGTTAATTATTTTGTTAAAGAATGTTTTTGAAATAAACCTGTTTTTAATTTTCATTGACGATTAATTATTGCAATGTTTGGACATATTATAGACTGTTAATAGTTATTTTATATGCCTATAATTCATTGTAATCGACCTAAATGTTTTAGACAATTTTTAATGAGGAGTAAGATTATGTAATATTTTATTATCCTCACAGCACATTGGTTATGTGCTGTGAAAAGATCGCGTGGCAAATTAATTATAATAGCGGATCAATGTAATAATAAAGTTAGCCTATAGGCCTCCACTAATAATGATAATATAATAATAGGAATAATTTAATGCATAAATTTGAAATGCTAAAACATCTTGATATTGATAGCAGCTGCTTGTTTTGACAATATCTCTGGATACATATCGTCTATAGGCGCAATCCAGGGGGTTATCGCAGATATTACACGTATAGTGTGAGCAGTGAAGTCGCAGGTCGACGATCAGACCGTACAGCGTGAGCACATAAATCCTGAAATTTGGCTTTGCATCGCATGCGATTTACTCGCTGAGTGTGAGTAGGTACCTTGCTGAAATCACACAGACATCGCACAGTGTATGCCCACCTTTAGGGATTTTTAATGCTATGCATGTTAGTGTTCACTCTAGAGTTTCTTTACATAGTGACATCGCCATCTACTGGCCCGGAGACAGAATAACAGTTTCGCGGGGCTCATTTGGACAATGTTGTCTTCTGTACGCGGAAAACTGAAAGGAAAACTTTTACGTTTTAGTACATTCGTTGTCATGTAAACATATGCTAAAAGAATGAGATCAAAAACGGGCTACTAGCAATGTGTTCATTCATGCTAGCAATGTGCTAATCCATGCTAAAAACATGCTAGCAATATGTTAATTCCAGCTAGAAACTTGTTATTTCATGCTAAAAAACATACTAGCAATGTGATAATCAACTGTGGAAAAACATGTTAGCTAGACTGAATAAAACCTTAAAAGTTATGTCATCAAAACTTGACTAGTTTTAGCTAATGTATATATACTAAATTGTAAGCTATTGTTATCATATGGGGTTTTGGCTTCAGAAAAAGCTATAAAATATCTAAAGAGTCTTTTAAGATGTTTGTTTTGTTGCTCTCGATTTCTCAGGGCTTGCGTCTCTGCTGTGTTGACGATTGGGGCTTTTACGCGCTCTCTGTGCCGGGACGTATCGCTCGTGTCCAACGCATGGCTTGCTGTCGCTAGGTTGCCATGGCAACAGTATCTCCCAACGACGCGGCAGAACACTGTCGAGCGAGGAAGAGGAGAGTAGAGGGGAAAGCGAGGAAGAACTTCTCCTGTCAGTTGTGCGAGAAGGCCTTCAACAGCTTGGAGAAGCTGAAGGTACACTCGTACTCCCACACGGGGGAAAGGCCGTATCGCTGCACACACACCGACTGCACCAAGGCCTTCGTCTCCAAGTATAAACTCCTACGGTAGGTACTTGTATTGTAACAAACAATCGAATGCCCATTATAGGTCTCTGATGTGAACCCACTCTCTCTGAATTACACCTCATTTCATTTCCCTCGAAACACCAGTGATTTCAAAGCGTGTTTTTGAGACTGTCTTTGGTTCACTGCAGTTTTAAGGAGGAAATACTCAGCAATGCTGTCCACTTATCAACGCACACATGGTGTGTGTTAAAGCGGATGAAACACACCACACACACACATAAACAACCGTAAAAACCAGATTTTCGCAACAGGGCAACTTTATAAAACAATACACTGCGTTAGATTAAACTGAGAAGGGTCGTAGCACTTGCATATTGTTGTCCTGTTAGTTTAACTGCTCCTATTGTTCTCATTTGTAAGTCGCTTTGGATAAAAGTAAATGTAATTAGCTCTTTTGTTCGTCTGTGTATTTAAATCCTGTCTTTATTCAGCTCTTTGTCCTCAATATTAAGGTGTTGTGAAGTCCGTTTCCCTGAGTGTTGCTGTGTATTTTTGAATTAAACATTGTTTCCTTGGATTATTCCTAGGGTTGGGTATCGAGAATCGAGTATCGATTGGAACCGGGACTAACTTTTCGTTTTTCCCGGAATCGTTCAAAAGTTAAAATTTCGATTCCTAGTTTCGATATTCGCAGTCCGCCGAGCGGAAGAAGAAACCGCTGAACAACACCAACGAAGAAGCGTCTACCGGAAGTGTTGGCATAACCACGCGAGTCGAACATGAGTAGCTTACGTCGGCGGTCCAAAGTGTGGCTTCACTAAAAATAACGAAATCTCGGCAAAATGCAAAATTTGTGACAAAAGGAGTATTTCCTTCAGAAAGGCCGTTGGTTAGCAAGGTTAGCTAAACTTTTTTGACCCTGCCTCTTAAAAGAATCGGAATCGAGAATCGTTAGGAACCGGAATCGAAACAAGGAATCGAATCGAATCAGAATCGTTCAAATTCAAACGATACCCAACCCTAATTATTCTGTCGTGCTCTTCTTTAGATATAACAGCCCATTACCCAAAACACAGAACCAAAAACAGTATTTTTGCTGCATTTGCTCCAGTACGTAAGAACGAGCCAATGATTGAAAGCAAAAATAAAGCAAAATAACGGTTCTTAATTATAGCAAGACATCTAGCATTAATTCAATCTCAAACAGATTAATTAAAAGTAGTTATTACTCCCTTACGTGCGTGACATCATTGAACAACCAATTTGCGTCAATACAGTTGTGGGAAACATTCGTGACTAGATGGTGGTCTTCTTCAACGATCCATCGTACTATGGTAGTGAAGCACCGAGTTGCGGCGTTGTACGGGGAACGCACCCCAGGCCCATGTTGTCTACGCACCCTGTGATCACTCCCAGCCTCCCTTCTCTCACCTCCTCTACCAAAGCCAGTCAGTTCCCCAAAACCTGTCACCGCTGTTTTCTGTCAGTCCCTCGGCTCATGCTCAGTTCCAAATGGTGGTGGATCCGTTTGGAGTTCCCAGCTCCATCTCTCTCTGTCTCCAGCCACTGAGCCCTGGACTCCACCTTGGGCCTCCAACCCTTCAATTCCACCTTGGATCAATGCTCCCTCGTCTCGATCGGGGTCACTCCTCCCACTGGCTCCTTCGTTCCTCCATCTTCACCATGGTCAGACGTCACACTGTTTCCAGCATGGGATTCCTGGGCTCCGGCTATGCCTCAGCCCTCCATCCCCTCCAGCCGTTGTCCTGGTTGCTCTTACTCCACCATGGTCTTCCAGGTCCCCGTGTCTGCCTCTGTCCCGAGAGCCGTCAACTCCACCTTGGCCCTCCAGACCTGCACTGTCACCCTGGATCTGTGTCTCCTTGGCTCCGTTTGGGTCTCTACCACAGCCGGCTCCATCACAGGAGATTGTATCCCTGGCCCCTCATCCTAGGCCTCCACCATGGCTACCCCCTCCTGCGACCTTGCCTTGAATCATCTTGCTGGCTTCCTGCTCTTGTCTCCTCCTGATCCTGGCTACTCCTGCTCTTGGCACCTCCTGCTCCTGCCTACTCCTGTCCCTGGTTACTAGTGCTTCTGGCTTCTCCTCTTGGCTACTCCTGCTTCTGGCTTCTCTTGCTCCTGACTCCTTCTGCTCCTGGCTGCTCCTGCTCCAGACTCGTCCTGCTCCTGACTGCTACTCCTCCTAGCTCCTCCTGCCTCCTTCTGCTCCTGACTCAAGCTCCTGGCTCCTTCTGCTCCTGGCTACTCCTGCGCCTGGCTGCTACTCCTCCTGGTTCCTTCTACTCCTTGCTCCCCCTGCTCCTAGCTACTCCTGCTCCTGGCTACTCCTACTCCTGGCTGCTACTCCTCCTGGTTCCTTCTAAACCTTACTACTCCTGCTCCTGGCTGCTACTCCTCCTGGCTCCTCCTTTTCCTGACTCCTCCTTCTCCTAACTCCTCCTGCTCCTGGCTCCTTCTACTCCTGACTCCTCCTGCTCCTGGCTCCTTCTGCTCCTGACTCCTCCTGCTCATAGCTCTACCTGCTCCTGGTTCTTTCTGTTCCTGACTCCTCCTGCTCCTTGCTCCCCATGCTCCTGGCTACTCCTGCTCCTGTCTCCAGCTCCTGGCTCCTCCTGACTCCTCCTGACTCCTCCTGCTCCTGGATCCTTCTACTCCTGGCTCCTTCTGCTCCTGACTGCTCCTCCTGGCTCCTTCTGCTCCTGACTCTTCCTGCTCCTGGCTCCTTCTGCTCCTGACTCCTGCTCCTGGCTGCTACTCCTGCTCCTGGCTCCTCCTCCTCCTGACTCCTCCTCCTCCTGACTCCTCCTGCTCCTGGCTGCTACTCCTGCTCCTGGCTCCTCCTCCTCCTGACTCGTGCTCCTCCTGGCTCCTCCTCCTCCTGACTCCTCCTGCTCCTGGCTGCTACTCCTGCTCCTGACTCTTCCTGCTCCTGGCTCCTCCTGGCTCCTCCTCCTCCTGACTCCTCCTGCTCCTGGCTGCTACTCCTGCTCCTGGCTCCTCCTCCTCCTGACTCCTGCTCCTGGCTGCTACTCCTGCTCCTGGCTGCTACTCCTGCTCCTGACTCTTCCTGCTCCTGGCTCCTCCTGGCTCCTCCTGCTCCTGACTCCTTCTGCTCATGGCTCCTCCTGCTGGCAACTCCTGCTCCTGACTCCTCCTTCTCCTGGCTCCTCCTGCTCCTGGTATCTCCTACTCCTAGCTCCTTCTGCTCCTGGCTACTCCTGCTCCTAGCTCCATTTTGATTTAGTTTTCATTTTGTTTAAGTTATGTTCCTGTTTGCTTGTGCACCCTGTCATTTGACTAGTATCCTGGATGTTTGATTAAGTTAGTTCTTTGTTCGATGTAATCAATGTTAAGCTGTTGTGAAGTCTTTTTCATAATATGAAAACAGTATGTAGTATGTTCTTCGTAAAATCTAAACACATTTTCGAAGACTCAATTTCATTAGTGGCTTTTGCCCCAGAAGAACCTTTTCATAGTTCCTGGAACTATTGGCTGAAATACCTGGATTTTGGCATGAACACACCACAGAAACTAGAAACAATTTTAGTTCTATGAACTCCTTTTGGAGAAACTAATTTAGTAAATATATTGGCTAATCTGTGTTTTTACACAGCTTTTTTAAAAAAAATGGCGAGTGATGGACAGTCACTGGTAGTTCCTATAGTGCTTGTTTAGACCCAACTCTAGAGAAGGAGAAAAAGCTGTGTAAAAACACAGATTAGCCAATACATTTACTCCAGAAACTAACTCTATGAACATGTGAAACAGTGATAGATGCGCCTCTTAACCTTTACGCTGAGAAGAAAGTCCAATGCAACTATCAATCACACGGCAAACACTAATCAAATACTGTCTACTTTCTTTGTCTAACAGATCGTAAACTAATGAACACAGAGAATGTGAGCACTGTGAGCTCAGGCGTTCTCAGCGCCGTCAAAATAAAAGTCACAACAACAAGTGCATCTTGCGTCAATTTCAGAGTTCCTACAGGCGGTGCGAATGTAACCAGGAAAATGTTCCCAAGGGAACCATTAGTTCTCGGAAACCACCCTGGTGGCTAGGTTAGGTGAACGATGAAGTAAGTTCCTAGAACTACCCGGTGCGAAAGCCCCTATTATATGACATTTGGTCATCAAAAGAAATAGCTCCTTGTATGCTCAGTGTACACTAATGCATATTTGTGTCCATAGGCACACGGCCACACACTCGCCAGAAAAGACCCACAAGTGCAGCTACTGCGAGAAGATGTTCCACCGCAAAGACCACCTGAAGAACCACCTCCACACACACGACCCCAACAAGGAGGCTTTCAGCTGCACCGAATGCGGCAAGAGCTACAACACCAAACTTGGCTTTCGAAGGCACCAAGCCCTTCACGCTGCTCACCGTGGAGACCTCACCTGCCAGGTGTGTCTGCAGTCGTACCCGAGCACTCCCCTGCTGCTGGAACACCTGCGCGGGCATGCTGGGAAAAGCGCTACGGCGACTAAAGAGAAGCGACATCAGTGCGATCAATGCGAACGGCGCTTTTACACCCGTAAGGACGTGCGACGCCACCTGGTGGTGCATACGGGACGCAAGGACTTTCTGTGCCAGTATTGCGCTCAGCGATTCGGCCGTAAGGACCATCTTACCCGCCATGTTAAGAAAAGCCACGCTCATGAGCTGCTAAGGGTGAAGGCGGAGCCTGTCGATTTAATGGAGTCTCAATCCTCACCAGCATCCGGGCCACTCGCGCTAAGATATCCACTTGGTCATGCTTCTTACTCGCCAACTCCGCCGCTAAGGGCGGAGCTCGAAAGCTATCTCCTCGAGCTACAGGCTGAAGATACACCCAAGCTGAGCGCTTCCGCCACGGTGACTGGAGAGACGACGTCGTCCCTGGACTTTCTGTCCCCACTGTTCAATTTCCTGCCTTACAGCCAGGGGGCGGGGCCTACTTTGGGAGTGGCTTACAACCAAGAGGAGGGGCTTCTGTCCACGCCCATCCAAGACACACCGGAGCCTCTTAGCCTTCTTCACACAATCTCACACTCGCAAAGCAATGCACTCGCTCCCAGTTACACACACCCACCGTCTCTGAATACAACCACCACCCTGCCTCGCTTCCACCAAGCCTTCCAGTAGCCCAAATGCATTCACAAACAAACAAAGTGCACTTTTTTTCATCAACTTAGCTCTTAATCAAGTTCGAACAAGCACACAGCGCATTTTAAAGGAAAGTAGAGATGCTGCGATATGAACATTTTGGCCGATACTGATAACTCGTTATATTTGATAACCGATATATCGGCCGATAAATCGAAATCATTTTTGAGAACACGATAACAACGTCCCAAACAAACAATTATAATGTTCTCATAAAAACGTTATGTAGCCGATATGACGCACATGTTGCGCGTAACTATATTTTCCTTTTTTGAAGTGAGTCCAGTCATACTTCAAGCAATTCAAAACCATCATGTTGAACAGTGAAGCGTCTCGGCTGACGGAAATAATTCCATTATTTAACATATCCGGCTTTAACATATCGGTCATATTTTCTTATTAGGCCGTTAACGATAGCATAAAAATCGTCTGATACCGAAATGGTGGCCGATATATCGTGCATTCCTAAAGGAAAGTCTTGAGGACAGTCTGCTCATTCGAGAGATTACGATATTACTCGTTTTATGTTCTAGAGGAGTTTACTGTAACTGAATGTTAAGAAGCAGAGCTCAGATTGCAGTGACGTTTAGCTCTCAAAATGGCGACTTAGACAGTGCATAGTTTTAAATAATCCTCTCATTATTAACACTAGCGCTGTCGAAGTTCCATCAAAGCTAAAAGATCATTGATCGAATGTTGTTTCCATCTCTTTGTTCGTTGTGTGGCTCATGAACTGTTGGGTACTGATCTACCAGCGTTTTAGTGACCATGTCACAACTATTTACAGCCAAAGGCAACCAAAACCTTCATAGCTATAGAGAGGAAGGCTCATCTCGTTATGTTTTTTTGTTTTTTGATGGCTGTTTGCCTTCATGCTGCTGCTCGTTGTAAGGGCCTCAAAGGACACCAGCGCAGGAATGCTTCACAATTCACACCAACAAAGGGAAAGAAGGACGAAGAAACACACACACACACACACACTCTTACTTTATTCAACCTCATCCACCCGAATGCTGGCTGTTGCACTGATCAAGGCTAACGATGAACCAGTTTTTGCTGTCTCGGCTTATAAAACTCCAAAATACAATCTGTGACATCACCTTGACTTCTCTCTGAACATAAGCTGAAGATTTAGTCTCTAAATCAAATGAAGGTTTTCCGCATTGACTGCGATTTTGCAAAAGTCATCCGTTTTCAGTGAGAGCTGGCGATTCGAGGCGACACGAGGGACTCGACTTTATGCAAACGGCCAGTGACGCAATGTGTCGGCTACTCACGGGAGTCCGCGCAGATATGATGTGATCGGTCACATGATCTGTCCCAGAATGCAGCAGTTGAGTAGGAATGCCTCAGTATGAGTGGTTGAGATTCACTACTCTAGAGACCAGTGTTGGGGCTAAAGCTAATCATCAGATTACTTTTTTAAAGTAACAAGTAGCGCATTACTTTTGCATGTAAAACTCTCTCGGCCCTATCATACGACAGGCGCGACGCGAGACTTTTTTGCTTCGTTTAAGCCCAAGGCACTTTTCATTTTCACGTCCAGCGTCACGTTGTTTAAATAGCAAATGCATTTTGAGGAACTGAAATAGAACTGAAATTGCTCTAAAGTCAAAGGCACAATATTTTTTTTTGTTATTTAAAGGAGTAGTTCACTTTAAAAAAAAACTTTTGCTGATAATTTCCTCGCCCCCGTATCATCCAAGATGTCCACGTCATTCTTTCTTCAGTCGAAAAGAAATTAAGGTTTTTGATGAAAACATTCCAGGATAATAATGGACTTGAATGGGGACCAAACGGTTTAAGGTCTAAAAGACAGTTTCAGTGCAAACTGTTTCAAAGGGCTTTAAACGATTCAAGACGATGAATCAAATTGAACGAATCTTTTTTCGTGTCATTTGGCTCATTCAACGAACGAAATGAACGAGTTGACTCTGGGAAAGATTTGTTCATTTTGATTAACGAGTTCGAACAGGAGAGTCACGAACGCTAATCACAGAACAGAGCAATGCGAGCATTTAAGCTTATAAAACTTAAACTTTGTTATTTATTTATTAAATGAGCGATCGTTTCGCTTGATAAGACCCTTATTCGTCACCTGGAATCGTTTAAAGCCCTTTGAACAGTTTGCACTGAAACTGTCTTTTGGACCTTAAACCGTTTGGTCCCCATTGAAGTCCATTATATGGAGAAAATCCTGGAATGTTTTCATCAAAAACCTTAATTTATTTTCGACTGAAGAAAGAAAGACATGGACATCTCGGATGACGCGGGGGCGAGTAAATATCAGCAAAAGTTTTTTTAAAAGTGAACTACTCCTTTAAAGCGTGTTAGTAATATGAGCCTATAGGCGGGTCCAGAACGCACGTACACTCTGTTTATTACACTCACTTTGTCCTGTAGATGCTGTACTTGCATCCGTTAACCTCACACACACACACAGCTTTAATCTGGCGCACAAACAGATTCGTTTCCACGCTAGAGAAGCGTATTATTCCGTCATGTAAATAGTGAATCCGCCACGGCTCCATCGCAACTGACTTTTAAAGGGAATGGGAGATCAGACTCTGATTGGTTTATTGCACGTTACGTCCAAAACACACACTTTACTTTTAAGAGAATAAGACGACCCATTTAGACTAGCGCCGGGAGCGCCGACCATTTGTCCCGCCGCTAAACTAGCAAAAGTGGATCCCGACGCCGTAAAGCGCCGTACGCTTTAGACCATGAGCTTAGATCGCTAAAATAGGGCCCTCAGAGTTACAAATATCTTTCAAATAATTGTGTTATTTTTCGCCCCATATATTGACCTCTAGTGTACAATCGTGAAATTGCATTTCCTTCAGCGTGAGGCTTATTCAGTTCACTTTTGCGGTGAAAATGCCTTTACATTTGCCAATAATAGAACTTTATTTATTATTATTATTTTTTTTTTTGTAAAATAAACCAGCAAGCCCATCAGCCCAGGTGGGAAAAAGTTACGCTAAAGTAACGTAAAACATAACTTTCCATGAAAAGTTACTTTTTAGCAAATAACACAATACTTTTAAAAGTAACTTTCCCCAACACTGCTAGAGACGTGCGTGTGTGTGTGTGTGTGTGTGTGTGTGTGTGTGTGTGTCGGTGAGTCTGTAAATGTCTTTTTTATTTAGTTTGTCGAAAGCTGAAGGTTGTTAAAAGCTTAAACATTCAGAGAAACCCCGTTTGGGGCGTATATTTCATAATAGCACTTTCAGAAAAAATAATATGCCCTTTATTTTGTGAAAGTAAGTGTCATAAATTAGTTTAGATATCATAATTAGCCTTTAGAAGATTTTTAAGCATACATACACAATGCTATATGTGTGATATTTTTTACAGGTACACTTCATACAGTGTTGATTTGTTGTTTTTATTGTTGTTGTTTTGCTTTATTGCACAAAATATCAAACTGTCAGTGTCTCAGAAGTGGGCTTCAGCCAAAAAAAAAGGTCAATTCAAGCAAAATCACTTTAGCAAGTACATACTACAGTTTTTTTTACAATCGCTTGGGCACATTTTTTAATGCTTATAATTTTTTTTTTTTAAGATAAACTTTAAGTAAATTTCACATTCAAAAATACGCTAAAACATGTAATTCTTCGATAACGTTAGCAAATGTTTCACCCAACAAACACTTGTTCAGGATCACACACTGATTTCTTAAGTAAAAAGAGTAATGTTTAGAGTTCGTTACACGATGATTAAGACATTCAGAAATGTGTCCAGGCGATTGTAACCCAGATAGCACAAGTCTATTTGATGTGATATTTACATCTGGAAGACGTATTTTTAAGAGTGTTTGCTCATCTGCAATACGTCTACAGGACGTTACCTGTCAGATGTCAAATAGACGTTTAGAAGATGTCTTTAAAGGAGTAGTTCACTTTTGAAAAAACTTTTGCTGATAATTTACTCGCCCCCGTGTCATCCAAGATGTCCATGTCTCTCTTTCTTCAGTCGAAAAGAAATTAAGGTTTTTGATGAAAACATTCCAGGATTTTTCTCAATATAATGGACTTCAATGGGGACCAAACGGTCCAAGGTCCAAAAGACAGTTTCAGTACAAACTGTTCAAAGGGCTTTAAACGATTCCAGACGATAAATAAGGGTCTTATCAAGCGAAACGATCGGTTATTTTTAAAAACTTATTCCAAAAATGTGCGTTTGTAACGTCACGTAATACGTAATTACGTTCAAAAGGTCACGGGCGACGGAGTCAGTGTTTACAAGTTGAACGCATAGGTTGCAAACTAACTCAAACGCCGTTTACAAAAAAAGGAATTAAAAGGTAAAACAACGATGTCGGACGATTTCGATTCAGTACTTCCGGCTACGTCGCCCGTGACCTTTTGAACGTAATTACGTATTACGTGACGTTACAAACGCGCCTCACAGAATAGAGCAAGGCTAGCATTTGTCCTTAGAAAAGTTACAAGTTTTGAAATAGCCGATCGTTTCGCATGATAAGACCCTTATTCATCGTCTGGTGTCGTTTAAAGACATTTGAAGCTGCATCTGAAACTGTTATTAACTGTCTTTTGGACCTTGAACCGTTTGGTCCCCATTGAAGTCCATTATATGGAGAAAAATCCTGGAATGTTTTCATCAAAAACCTTAATTTCTTTTCGACTGAAGAAAGAGAGAAATGGACATCTTATGACACGGGGGTGAGGAAATTATCAGCTAAAGTTTTTTTAAAAGTGAACTACTCCTTTAAGATGTAATGATTTCGAATGGATGTTAAAGAGACATCTTCTAAACGTCTATTTGACATCTGACAGGAACCGTCCTATAGACGTATTGCAGATGAGCAAACACTAAAAATACGTCTTCCAGATGTAAACATCACATCAAATAGACTTGTGCTATCTGGGAAAACACACTACATGTGGAACCGTGTGGATCTGGCCTAATGAGCTCATCTAAACGAGTGAAGTCGTTCATCTATCGCTGCTGAATCGTGGGGTGTGTGTGTGTGTGTGTGTGTGTGTGTGTGTGTAGGATTACCTAATCATTGGGAGCGCGAACTCTCTGTTCATTGGTACAATCACCACGCGAGTGTTTATGAGTTATGAGTGACTCCTGCAATAATCTGATGGATATGCTGCTAAAGGACAGTGTGAAGCCCTGGTGCTGCGACAGACCCTCTCCTCGCTTTCAGAACACTTCAAACCGTGTGTGTGTGTGTGTGTTGGGGTTATGTGAGCCATATTGTTAATGTATTTGTAATATGGTGCATATATATCATTTAGCGGATGGATGATACGGATAGATGAAATAGCATTCCAGCCATAATTATGTGTTTTTATTTTAATGTATCTCTAATGCCATTCTGTGATAATGGCCTGCTATTGCTAATCATGCATATTTTACTTTAATGTATTTTACGAACTACTGTTGTATATGTATAGCCTAAGACAGAATCCCATATATATATAAATATATATATATATATATATATATATATATATGTGTGTGTGTGTGTGAGTGTGTGTGTGTGTGTTATGGGAACCTGCTGCCACAGCTGACGAATCTTAACATCACCCAAAGAGAAGGTTATGTGTTCGCTGGCTCGCCGTGTCAGGTGTGTGTGAAGGCAGGTAGGCTGTGGCGACGGTGTGTGTGTGTGTGTTCAGACGACCTTTGCTGCTATGTGAGGAGAGGAGAGATTTGGTCCAGTGTTAATACTGTCCACAGTACTGATCTGATCAATAAACACGAGAAGGACTCACTTTACCAAGTGTTTTGTGTGTGGAAAGTATATTCAGGTTGAGAAAAAATTACATTCAATGTGTATTTTTGTTTTATGGATTACAATTTTAAGTTTCATATTTTTATGTATATTTATTGAAGCCACACTCATTAATTCAATTGATCCTGCACACACACAAAAAAGAAGAAAAAAGTTTTATGAATTACAATGTCTGTTCAGGTTCCTTATTTTTTTAATAGATTTTTTTTTTTTTCATTTTTTTTTTATTGAAGCCATATGTATCCGTTATAATGGCCATCCTCCTCAGTGATCCAACAGAAAGAAAAAAAACTATTGTATGAATTACAATGTTAAAATTTGTGTTCAGTTTCGTTATTTTTTAAATACATTTTTATCTATTTTTTTCTTTTAAATGTATGAAGCCATGTTTAATTATCTATGATCTCGCTAAGCAAAAATAAATAAAATAAAAAATCCCGTTAAATGCACTTGTTCCGGCGGAAGTGGTGACGAGGCGCTGACGTCACGCAGTGCCCGTATGTGGCGTATAAAAGCTCGAGCAGGCCGTTTTTCCGCCCTTTCGTGAAGGATCGCGTTGAGATCCCGTTGCCCTTCCTGACTCACCGCTGTTCTTCTCAGCTCTTGATACGAATAAGTCGGTCAGGAAATAATAATCATGGTAATTTGAAGTTATACCAGTATCTAAAGTGTGTTTGTCGCATGTTGTGTGTGTTTAGTTTGTTATCGGAGTAAAAATGCGGCGCTGTTGATCTTTCTGAGGGCTCGTGGTTTCTGAGATTCGCGGTCAAACATTTTATTCACCGTGTTTTATTTCAAGCGTTTGCGTGTTTTTCTATTTAATGTTGTTTTTGTTCCAACTGCAACTTCAAGTGTAACGTTATAAGTAAACAGAAGTATTTGTACACATGCTAGCTTCACGTGCTATCGGAAATATCCCATTTCGTACTTATTAAAGTCGAGTTTCCGAGCTCGTCAGCGCTGTGTTTAAAGAACCGGAATCACAGTTTATTCTTGTTTGTACATTTTGTATAAGTCTTATTAGCCGTAAATGATATTTACGGTCTCATTCATATTAACATTTCCCGCGCTTTCTAATGTAAATAATAACTACTTTCACAGAAAGACGAGGCGGGATGTGGGGAAAGTCTCGGTAATTCTAGAATGGGAAAAGTTTCCTTGTAATACTAACGTTACTTGAGGATGTTCATGTCCGATTTCCTACTATGAAGCTCGTATTATCACCCAAATGTAACATTGCAAGTGTACATGCCTTCAGGAGTGGAGGACGAACACTTCAACAATATGAGTCCCGATGTATTTCAGACTTAATATTTATTTCTGGATTATTGTGCAACCAAAACACCAATAATATCAGTTTATTTTAAATGCTAAAAACACAACTTGTGCAATGTATATATTTTGCAATTTTGGCATTAAATGTGTCCTCTTTCAGTTTTTTATACATTAGTGGATAAATCCAGTTTCGGTGCTGTTCAGGAGTTTGGGTTCGAGAACAAGATTTATGCTCACCAAGACTGCATATAGTAAAATATTGAAGATAACCGTTCTAAACATTCATTCAAAACTTTGGGCTCAGAAAAAAAAATACTGGGAAGAAAGTCATTATTATTAGTCAGCAAGGATGCATTAAACTAATCAAGTGACGGTAAAGAGATTTATGTTACAAAAATATTCTATTTCAAATAAATTCTGTTCTTTTTACATTAAAATAATACAGTTTTTTTACTGTTTTCAACATTGATAATCCTAAATGTTTCTTGATCATTGATTTCTGAAGGATCATGTGCCACTGTAATGATGCTGAACATCACAGGAATAAATTACACTTTACTGTATTTTCAGTTAATTTAACAAATAATACTCGTGTATTTCTAATCAAATGCAGCCTTGGTGAGCAGAAGAGACTTTTAAAAACATTAAATCTTGCCGATCCCGATCTCTTGAACGGCAGTGTGTGTTCTGAATAAAGGTGGTATTTGTGTTTGAGTGTGTAAAGATGTTTAATAACGGCACGTGTGTGTTTCCAGGCGTTTAAAGACACCGGTAAAGCCCCGGTCGAGGCCGAGGTCGCGATCCACCGGATCCGCATCACACTGACCAGCCGTAACGTCAAGTCTCTGGAGAAAGGTGTGTGTGTGTGTGAGAACCTGTCTGTGCTAAACACGGCAATGAGGAGGATATCATGTGAACGACTTCAGCATGAGTTATAATATACGCTATTCTGAGCCCTTTTCCCCTGAACACTCGTCCGTGTGTGTGTCTGTCGGATGCGTCTTCATTAATCGTGTCTTCTCTGTAGTGTGCGCTGATCTGATCCGAGGTGCGAAAGAGAAGAGCCTGAAGGTCAAGGGCCCCGTGCGGATGCCCACCAAGGTGAGGCCGTTACACATGTACACAATTTAAAACAAAAACATGTATTAACCCCTTAACTGTCACCCCCCCTTTTTTTGAGAATGGGGGTTAAATGCACTATTCACACTTAAATGGTTGTAATTCAAGAATGCTTTGGAATATATACACCAAGTTTGGTCTCGTTTTAAAGAAAACACTCAGCAGAATATTGCACTTCAAAAAATGAAAGGATGAAAAAGTTATGGAAGTTTTAATTCACAATAAATCAAATATACTGTACTATATTTTTTTATTTTATATAAAATATATATTTTACAAAATATTTTTTACTATAAAATCAAAGCCATAAATCTAACCAAGTTATGTTCCAAATTTGAAGTTGATATCACAAAAATTGAAGTTCCCATGAGATTTTGTTTAGGTGTAGTGCCAAAAATAGCCATTGAATTTCATTGAATTTAGTTGTATACATTCTGCCTTAACAAATTAATACATTTCTGTCTCAAAATTTGGAACCTTGAGACTCAGACCTTTCTGACAATGTGTTTTGTCAAGATTAGAAAAAGTTTTGTTCATAAATTATGAAATATAATGATACCCAAAAGGGGAGGAGCCTGATAAAATAAGTACTGTTTCTATGGTAATGCAACGTTCAATTATAATAAAGTTTTCACAGGATGAATTCTGAGTTTATAAGCTTTCAAATGATGCCTAATTTATGATAGCTACTAAAATATGTGATATAATAAAAAAGGAGACAAAAATATTATATTTTAGAGGATAATATATACATGTATATTATAATTTTTAGAGGGTAATGTTATACTATACTTTTATTTTTTATTGAAAAATACTAGATGATATGTTTTATTATGAACTTTTAGCATAAAAACAGAAGTTTCAATGATGTGACAAGGTCAGAATTCCTGTTATGATGCAGATTTTTCGAGGTGCACTCTTGTCATAAATTCATCAATTACTCTTCCTACATAATTTGTAACACAAAACAGGGGTGGAATATTTATTTAGAAGTCTTAGACCTTTCCAACGACATATAATTTGTCATAATTAGATTAGGATTTAATAGAAATACAGCGAAGTAAAGTTAGGCGTCCCGGTATCGGGACAGTGACCGTTAAGGGGTTAAGGTTTAAAGTGCAGGGGTGAGCAGTGTGTACTGAGTAAAGCGTGTCCTCTCTCCTGAAGACCCTGCGCATCACGACCCGTAAGACCCCGTGTGGAGAGGGCTCTAAGACCTGGGACCGGTTCCAGATGCGGATCCACAAGCGCCTCATCGACCTGCACAGCCCGTCCGAGATCGTGAAGCAGATCACCAGCATCAGCATCGAGCCCGGCGTGGAGGTCGAGGTCACCATCGCAGACGCTTAATAAACTCGTCTCGCAACTCTGACCGCTGCTGTGTTTATTCTCACACACATCACCATACTTCACCAGTCGACTTATTACATTAGCGTGTGTTACAAGTTCTTAAATATGTGATTAAATATGCACTGATTTGCATACAATTTTAGAACAAAAATCTCAACACTTTCAAAAATACTTTTCGTATAGCTCTCCACAAATCAGAAAATCCTGTCAGCCAGAAATAAATGTTCACTTATTTTTTTTTAGGAATAAAATCAGGAAAGTTATGCCTGTGTGAAATCCATAAACTAAAATTTGGTGTCAGTCAGTTAGTGACGATATAACTCACTTTGAGGGAACGGTCTTTAAAGATGTCGACCGAGATCTGAGTGTTGATGTAAAAGAGATGGTTTTGTTCATATTTTTATGATTATGTACATGTAACGTGATGAAAAGTAAAGCTAAATGTGTGCAAGAGAAGTTAATAGACCTTTTCAAGCACTGTAACTGAAGATAAATGCGTTTCACAGTTAAATTATATTTACAGTCTTTGTCAAAATATTAGTTAACCGTGATATTAACATGAACTGATGAGCAATACTTCACTTATTGATCTTGGTTGACGTTAATTGTGATATTTAATGTTTATAATGAGACGTCAGTTTCCTAAATATTGGGGTTTTTTTTGAAGATAAATGCGGTACAATTAAATTGCTTTAATGCATCAATGTTAAATATATTATGAATTGATACTAATGGACAAAGTGTTGTTTGAATGTGAAAGTCATATCCATGTAAACTTTAAAAGTAGAAAGTTTAAAAATCGAGGAATTAATTTAATGTGCAGCACTCACAAATAAAAAAGATTTTAATCTTATTTAATATTAATGTCAACATTTACCAATACATTATTCATATCAAAGGTTGTGCTTGTTAACATTAGTCACAGTGAACTAACATGAACGGCTGTGTTTTATTAACTGATATTAATACTGTAGCAAATCTACTGCTCATGGTTAGTTCATATGAGTTAATAAAACTTATTATAAAGCGTTGTTGCCGATATCTCGGGTTCAGGGAACAAAAACATCTTATTTGTATATTATACACATTTAAAGCTAAAGATATTTACAACTTTAAGTTACGAGAGCCCAGAATGCACCTGTGATTTGAAGCGGATCTACTCACAGGTGTGCTGAATGTCTTGATGAGCAGGTGTGGCAGATGCATTCTGGGTAAGCTCTCACCTGTGCTATTAAAGCTGGTTTTCATGTCTGAAATGGCTTTTCTCTAAACCACTGACACACAGATGTCAAGTTTGTGAAGCTGAACTTTAGTTATCTGACGGTATAATCATGGCGACGGTTATGGATGTGGACGAAGACACCATGTTGGCGATGGAGTCGACGGCTTGTGAACCTCATCATGAGGCTCTTCCAGAGTTTTCAGGAGTTTCCTCCATAACATCACAGGTTATACGATCAAATCCGTACATAACGCATAATGTCCGTCTGTATGTTTATATGTAGCGCTGTGGTGTTTGTGTGCAGGGCGAGAGCGCTGAGGTCTCTGAGCAACAGCAGCTCCGAGTTTACTTAAAAGTTCGTCCTTTCAGTGAAGAAGAGCTGAGAAGCAATGAAGATCAGGTACGCTTGAGCTCAATCCAATGATGTTTGCCTTTGGAAACAAGGCGTGGTATTGGGGTGCGCACAGGACCCTTTTCACAAGATCTTGTAAAATAAGTCTCTGATGTCTCGAGAGAGACTGTGAAAAGTTTTAGCTCAAGATACCCCACCACAGATTTTTCTAGCATGCAAAATGCTTATTGGGGGTCCCTTTAAATGCAAATGAGGGGCAGCTCCCGTTTGGCGCTTCTAAGTGTGACGTCACCGATCGCGGTAGCGCCTCAGTGAACCGATCATCTCTTACAAGTAAATTGTAAATAAATACAAATGAGCAAAAGGTTGGTATAATGAACAATTTACTGAAATGTGTATACATAAAATCGATCAAAAGTGTTTCTTAACCATGGAAAGAGATCAATAAATCAGCTGAAGAACAAGATCAAGTACATTTACCTCAGGTAATAATGACTACTGAACATTTAGTTTGTTAGAAAAAATAGCTATTTAGCTAAATATGTGCACTTAAAATGTTTTGTTTTAGTAATAAACACATATTTAATCAGGGTTGATATTTTTAACATTTCATTAATAGCAGCTGACCGGGCTCTCTGGATGTAGCATTAGCTGAGGGTTTTTGGGGGGTTTTTTTGTCTTGAGGGAGAAATTGACACGCATATAGCCTACTGTATTTATCCAAATGAATCAATATTGAATCAAATCACAAGCATTTAATTGAAATCGTGAAGTTTCTCAAGCAATAGGCTACTACAGTAGCCTGCCAGTATTTGTACCATGTAAACATCGTAGCTTAACATGTTGTCACTAAAATTGATAAAATTGTTTTGTTACCAAATAATTCCATAATTCTCACTCCAAGCTAAACTCAAAAGTTGGCAGCCCTGATGTAGTGAACTGTCTTCTAGTCACTGATTAGCATATTCTGTTATGATAATCTATAAATGCTTTCATGGGGGCGGAGTTTGTCAATTTTAGTGTTAGTGATGTCACTAACCGTGAAGAAGCTTGTCAGCCTGTAAAAAATAACCGTGATTTTAACGGTAAAATACTGTAAAAATGCTACAGTGCAAAACTGTTAATTGGTAAACAAAGTTTCCGTACTATATACGGTAAAAACTGATATAATTTTACCGTAAAATACCGTTAAATTTACAGTTTTTGAAAGTGAAAGAACAAATCATTGTATAATTTACAGTGAAAAGCCGCTTCACAATGTGACGCTTCACAATTTGTATTTTTGTTGAAATAACTATGGTTCCTCGTAGTTTCATTTTTTTTTTCTATTCAGTTATGTTCATTAGGGTTTTATGTTACATTTAATGTTAAATTAATGTTATTGCATTTTTTTTTATTTCATGCGTGTTACCATGATGGTGTTTAATGTTTGTGTGAATGACCCTGTTTATATAAGTTTTCACTTGTGACGAGCTGTGATTGCTCATGTAACTCCTCTCTGCTGTGATGATTGTTTATCACAACAGATATCAATATGTCAATTGATAATAAGTTGGTAAATCAACATTTTATCAGAAAGAAAATTTACAGTAATAAACCGTATTTTAAAGTTAAGTCTGTAAAACCATTAATGTTCCTACTGTGTTTTTAACAGTAAAGTTCTGGCAACCACAGCTGCTGGGTTTTTTTACCATAAAATTTACGGTTAATTTTTACAGTGTAGTCCTTAAATAGAGTTCACTTATGCAAATCTCTCCCTTCGCTTTGAACTTTGAGCGTCATAGCAGATGTTTGTTCAAACAGCAACATTACACGCTAACTAAAGTTAAAACCTTTTAATCGACCTTATCTCTCCTGTCAGGGCTGTGTTGTGTTGGAGGATTCGGAGAACGTCTCTCTTCACGCTCCTCAAGGATCCGCCAGCATGAAGAGCAGCGAGAAGGGGATCGGCCAACAGGTCTACAGGTTCAGCTTCACGCAGGTGACGCGTAACGCAAGGCTTTTGTTAACAGAACGGGTCGTTCTGACTCGGGTCCGGGAAACTAAACTGACCCTGATATAAAAATCGAAAGTTCTTCAGAGGAGTCCAAGCCTCCAGGACTTGTGTTGCACATGAACAACAAACATGCATGCGAATTAAATGGAATTTAAATTAAATTTTAAAAAGTAACAAATCCTTCGGTCTCGGATCAATTTGACCCGCTTAGAAATTAATTGAATGTGATGAATGCTTCAGTACACCTAACCTAAAAAACATGCTAAAGCTTAGCAAACAATATTGTCTACATGTGTGTCTGAATGAACACTGAGGGATCCAGCGCAACAGCTCGTCTGCTCCATATAGAGATATAAGGTCATCTAGAGCCATAAAATGTGTTATTATTTTTTCACAAGAGGTCAAAGACTCTCAATGTAAGATATTTACAACTGAACTTAAAGGTTTATGCATGAAACTGTCCGTTATTTTGAATTTAGACTTAAATGACTAGTTGATAAAATCCATTAATTTTGTAAATAAAATAAAAAATGACAATCTCCCAAAAAATGCATTTATACACTCACCTAAAGGATTATTGGGAACACCTATTCAATTTCTCATTAATGCAATTATCTAATCAACCAATCACATGGCAGTTGCAAAAAAATGATCAAATAAACTTTCTGAAAAAAAGTGTAATTTACAGCTTTGGGTCATTTCGCCCCGCGAGAGATGAGGGTTTAAGTGTGTGTGTGTGTGTTGACGTGCAGATCTTCGGGCCGACGTGCTCCCAGACCGAGTTCTTCGACGGCACCATCGGCTCACAGGTGCACGAGTTCCTGCACGGCAAGAACGGATTGGTCTTCAGTTACGGCGTGACCAATGCTGGGAAAACCTACACCATACAAGGTGAACGAACCCCACTAAACACATATCGTTACGTATTATATTGTTATATTAATGCTATGTCCTGTGCAGGCAATCCGCTTTCTTCGTCATAAATGATCGCAATATCACGGCTAAATGCCTTCTCCTATCCGCCATGTTTCTCACTGACCCGTAAAGATCGGGGCTTAACCCCGTAGCCGTCACCCCCATTTTTGAGAATGGGGGTTAAAATGCACTGTTCAAAGTTAAATGGATGTAATTTAAGAATGCTTTGGAATATATACCCCAAGTTTGGTCTTGTTTTAAAGAAAACACTCAGCAGATTATTGCTGAAGTGAAAACACTTCAAAAAATGAGAGTATGAGAAAGTTATGGAAGTTTAAATTTGCTGTAAATCAAATATACTGTACTATATATTTTTTTATTTTACATAAAATATATATTTTACAAAATATTTTTTACTCTAAAATTTCTATAAAATCAAAGCCATAAATCTTATCAAGTTATGTTCCAAATTTGAAGTTCACAAAAATTGAAGTTCCCATGAGATTGTGTTTAGGCGTAGTACCAAAAATAGCCACC